CAGTCGTGGAAGATCTTGCCGGACGTTTTCAAGTACTCTAAAGTGGGCAGGGGAGAGTCACGAGAGACCGATTTAATTGTATGGACGTGTCCGACCTCCCCGTTGAGAACACGGTCTCGCACGTTCGAGTAGCCCGGATCGAATCGCCGGTTGAACGAACAAAACAACGGCTTGCCAGCTTTCTTAGCTATTTCGTAGCATTTGGCAGTGTCCGAGATATTCTCCGCTATGGGCTTCTCGCAGAAGACCGCCTTCTTTGCTTCCAGAGCTTTAATAACGATATCCTCGTGCGTGTAAGTCGGCGACGCCACGACGACCGCGTCAACGCTTTACGAATCATGAAAAACGAGAATTATATGTTTGCTTATATATAGATATGAATTTGTCTTGTAGACGCAAATGTAATCTATATTGATATAATCTATAATACATAATTTACATTATACATATAAGTCCATATTATAGCACATAATTTATTATGGTTAATTTTTAATTTAACTTTAACTCTATTTTTAAATTTATTTAACTTTTAGCTTGATTATATCGTATAGCGGCAGCGCTTTTTCATTTTCATACAGCCACTTACTTGGGGTCTTTGAATATTTTGTCAGATTGCTTGCTATTTAGGAAGGTAACGTTGTCCAAATGCCAGTACTTCCGCCAATTATTCCACTTGCTCTCGAGATCATCAACAATGTATAAAAGCTGGACACGTTTATTAGAAGTTATATTCGATAAATGTATCGTCCCAGCGCGACCCACACCGAACAGAGCCAATTTAACTATCGGTTCCTCCTGATGGTTATCTGTCTTCAGGGTGAGGTTTTCTATATATCTATGAAAGATGTTTTTCTTAGTAAAAGAATATCAGAAACAGAAATAAGACTCAAAGATATCTCGAATATATTTCCGCCCTCAAAAGCGAAAGTAGAAAACCGCTTTAATTGTGGCGCTCATGTATGTAAAAGTAATTTACAAGATCAATTGCCAAGATCACGAATCAGACGGGATAAACGAAAAAATTAATTCATTACGATTAATAGATAATGTCCATTTCAGGACCAGAATTTTATCAAACGTACATCCATATCTCGCTCGTCGTGTCGGCTTTAAATTGAAGTTACAAATCAAATTGTAGCAATAAAATTTAGGAACGTGAAAATTAACGTGTTCTTTGGAGAAATGATTTTTTCGTCGAAAGGATCTTATATAATTGAGTATTCATGATGTATCAGTGCGAACTTATAATACTTTCGCGCGATGGTACAAGAATGAATTACTCACTTGCTATAGATATAATCTTCTGCAGGTGGTGAACTCTTTGGCTTGAGGTATGGAGACATCCCTTTGAACTTCACAGTTGCCATTGTTATTACGAATTGTATATACTTCGATTATTCCGAAATGGCTGTTGCGACCGAAAGACCGGTTTATGGCCAACGATGCTTCGATAATAGCTTCTTATATACGTAGAGACGAGCGGAAGTGGGGGCTGCTTACTGTGACGTTTGGAAATAAATAAAAGATAAGATAGAAAAGAGGAAATAGATACATTTTCTAATCTTTCAAAACATATTATTGCTGGTCGGCAATATGCATAACGATATATATAAATTATAAAAGGATTTCTGTTAAACAGAATTATTGTTCCTATTATAGCCGATAAGAATTGTCTAAATTTCTCCTTGATTCTCTAAATATCTTTATCGTTTTTATTTTTATTCTTAATAGCAAATAACATAACGTATCCTAACAATTCTTCTTAACAAATATAAAGAGATGAGTATAAAAGTTTTTTGCTATATGAATTATTGAATAATGAATTGAAATATCTAATCTTTATTATGTTAAAAAAATTAACTTGGAATTATAACAGTTTAATTCGATTGTTCCAAATGTATAAAAAAAAAAAGAGGTTTGTTAGCATCTTGAAATACATTTTTACTAATTTATTAATGTATTTCGCTGCTATAAAAGCGTCATTTAACCGATGCTTGACTGCTAGAAAGGCTTCCAGATGGTTCTCTCCGTTCATTAAACTTATTCACGAGCCACAACGAGAGAAATGCTGCGATGCACTCGTCCAGTAAACGAGATAAAGAGAGACAGAAGACAAAGTAAAATGATGACAGAGAAGACTTTAAAATGTTTCCAGCATGGTCGACTATGCCATGCTAACGGTTTAATCATAACGCAGACTTGATTTATCTACGAGATATTTACGTAATGTATTTCTGTAAGATTATGCAATTACGTTCGTGATTCTGCATAATTATCTGCGATGCCGCTTCATTTGTTCAAATCGTTATCACGCCGCGGTGACCTGTAACATGTATCGAACGGAGGACCATATCTCTGTAATTACGCTGGCCATTTGTATAGTGTTAGGAGAAACCGTAAAAACTACGCCTTATAACAATTAGCTTCTGATTGTTTTCCAGTGGGGCCTTTAAAACAGAAATAGCTGTTATAAAAGCTAAGATTATGTATACGAGTTAATATCGTCGATAAACAACTTTAAGTAAATTTCCATATACAATATCATTAGGAAGGACAAGGGGTTATCGACGAATCGCGTTATATATCGTATCTTTGGAATAAAAATAGTGGATTGTAAAAAGTGTCGCAAGTCATGCATCACGCACATTAATTAAACCGCACGCAAATCAAGATCATGTAAAAAGAAAAAGGGAATAAGAAATCCGCTCGAACGAATTACGTAATTTATTCAAATAACGAAAATTAAATAACAAGCAACATCAACAGATTTACGAGCGTAGAATGCGCGTTCACCAGAATCGACGCCCGCGTTCGTTGATAAGATTTAATTAAACGGCACTTTAATTAAGTGCCCTCTCGACGCTCCTCTCATTCTGAAATCAAGTAGGACACATGTTTTTATCGTGCGACAATGATCACGTTTGGCAGATGCAAACTAGATGGGATCGATTTTTGGGAAACAAATTTAATTGATTTTCTTTCAATCAATCACGAAGCTTGAGCATATTAATCCCATCTTTTGCTCCGCAACTGCATTTGCCGAACGTGTCTAATGTCAAAAGGAGATTTGTGACGACACCACCGACTGTGCCAGCGAGAAATTCAAAATACAACTTAATTTTTAATTACAACTTCAATTCGAGAACGACAGAATTCTTCGGCGAAAGATTTGTGATTATCGGCCGACGAAAATTTCGTGAATATTTTCAAGAAAGGAAATGAAGACAACGTTTACTACAGTTTTTTTTTATTAGCTAGCACACACTGGCATCTCACAATTCGTCGTTTGCCTTACGATATCCTTGCTTCGGCACGAAAGCAACCTCGTCCCCGTAGCTTTCCACGTACGCCGACCTTTTTCTTCTGTCGCCTCCCGGATCGGCGTCGATGAGAGCTATACTGGATCTAGTCGGTCTGTTGAACGAAAGTACCGTTATCACGGTGAAACATTTTGTAAAATTTTCGTCGTATAATATCTCATGGAGATATTCCTTAATAAACTTGATATTAATTTCTCTCTGTGAAAACTTTAACTTTAATTTAATATTGAAGTTATTGAATTGTACTACTGTATTATTCGATTTTGAAGGAATAAGTTTGCATTTTATTCTTTAATTAATTAATATATATAGCATTATAATAAAAACAATAGCGTGTCCAAGAGAATCACGTGAGAAGAGAATAACAAAGCGGTTGAAATAAAATATTTTTAATTTACTAGTATTTTTCACATTGAAATAATAACTACCGATGTTTTTTACGTAGTTTACTCCACGCACCGTAGAAAGAATTGATTGTATCTCCGTTAAACTTATGAATAATTGAAAGTACATGTTAATCATATCGAAAGTAAGTTGAATTAATAACGAAATAGCTAATTACCTTTTTTCACTCCCATTAAGATCCGCCGTGACCGTGCGAACACGCGGCGTCGAGAAGTCGCATTCTAACGTAAAAGCGGCGTCACCAGGTGTTAACAGCTCGTCATCGTGCTGAATCACCACCACGTTGCTGTATTTTTCACCATCCTTTCACCGAAATAAAAAAGATAGAAAAATATTAAACGATACAATAAATAATCAGTAAATACTTGGTCTTGAAACACCACAGCAAGTAAATAAAGTTTTCCAATCTATTTTGTGAATAATTTCTCGTAGAGACAGGAAGTAATTGTAGCCTATTATTAAAGAACTGATAAAACATCAAGAAACAATTAAAAATTCCGTATGAAAAAATAATTCATATGCCGACTTTCCTGTTGCATTATTTATTTATATTAATGAATGAAAATGTGAGAGGGAAATTTTAGAGATTAATCGCAAGATATACATTCGAAAATGTGATAGAATAAGTTACACTTTCTACGGATAATTCGTAGATATCATTTCTACTATACACAGTGATTCACTTGATGACAGTGAACTCGATCGAGTGTTTAGAAAATAAGAAATTGTTTATAAGCTTTATTACTTTCGGAACACGTAACGTAAAAGAAAATGAACGTTTTTCTGCGAGAAAGAGATCCACGCTTTTTCGAGCGCTTAACGACTCGTTATGTTGACAAGGCTAATATTGTATAATAACGACATGTTTAATTGAGAGAGAGCATTAATAGGATAAACGCGATAATTTACGTACCCTTTCAGTGTCACATTTGTGTAGAGGGATGCTCATGGTGAAACTTCTACCGCGAACCGGATCGAGGAAGCAGGACGGCTCTCGGGAATGGAAGCTACCCTGCGTGTAGATCACCCCCGAGAAGTCCTCCGTAGTTTTAAGCTCGACGGTCATCCTTTCGGCGCCGCATCGCAGCCCCACGCGATCGTACCCCTCGGTGGACGCACCTATCCGCATGTCTTTGGACAGATCCTGCTGCCAGATCTCTTCTGCAATCGCGCAATCAGTTTCAGGTTCTTTTTTTTTTAATAAAATTAAATAAAAGTCGGAAACGAAGATGCAACGGCGATTTATTTCAATTTTGTAGAAACTTGGGAATAATTAATTCTGAATGAAAAGGAGATTAAAAAAAAGCATTCTGAATTTTTGCTTTTAAATTTAAGCACTTTAAATAAATACTTAAAGTAATTTTATTTTATATGTTTCAGTGTGTTTTCGACAAAAACTCCCTTATCGTCGGACTAACGGGTCACCGTGCGAAATCGCGATCTAACTCATCGGTTTTTTCTCTCACCTGCGTTGCCCATCAGCTTGGCGTTCGCCAGGAACGCGAGGAGCGCAATTGAACGCATGGTCCCGTAGAAACGGTAAGCGCGAACGAACGACCGTGAACTGGCGAGACGATAAACCTCTGGTTTGCTCAATGCCAACGTGCCCGTCTGCCGCCGTTTTACCTGTCTCCGGGGTGACTTTCTTCCCTCTCCACCCTGCCCACTCCACGTTAATTCGCGTTATTCCGAATCGGATACTTTCACCGC